TTATTTTTTATTTTGCCTATCTGTGGCTTGACTTTTTGAGACGGGCTTTAGGAAGGGATATGATACTATTAAAAGTCCCATAGCACTCATATGGGGAAATGTGTGTATATAAAGACTTTAGGAGCCTTGGAAAAAATTCTACTGTCCAAAAAGAGGCCACAAAAAACTCCAACCAAAGCCCAGTGTCCTTAATAATGAAATGCATACCCAGTGTTTATGTTCCCTTTAAAATGTTTGGATTTTTACCACACTTTTTATTTGTATATTTATATGCACACACTGTATATATGTATATAAAGATACACACATATATTTGTGTATCTCTAGAGAGGGAGGAAGGGAAGGAAGCAAAGGGAGGGTCCTCGTTAAATGGAGATTTACAATGCAAACTATCATCTTCACAATTGTATGTGCTAGTCATAAAAAGTACCAGAGGGAACAAGGAAATAAACAATGCAGACAAGTGAAATTACTTTTTCTAAAGTAAACTTATTTAAAATTAACACAGTTATTAAATTGAAGCCTTATTGCCAATTACCTTTATTCTGGGAACCTTTAATATTTTCTATTTAGAAAATCCTTATCTATAAGGGCCTGCCAATAACCTCTGCATACACATCCAAGGCTCCACATTCCTAAACTTTATGACAGTTAAAAAGCAATTTTATGTATATTTATGAAGGCAGTAAATTATTAAAATAAATACAGATATTTACACAGTAGAACAACATCTTCATTTAATGGATGTGGAAAAAATGTTAATATGTGAACATTTTAAAGATGAAGTGGTTTGGCCTTCAGGGCTTTTGTTACTCTATTAAAAGTTAATTTAGGACAAAAATTATGGCTTTTCCACGAATTGCAACCCCTAAAGATTAAATCATGATCAAGACACACAACATTTTTCAAAAAGTGAATCTGTTAATGACATTTCCAGAGGCTGGATATTGAAACCACTGTGCAGTTCTCCCTGAAAAAGCCTCCTCTGGCTTCCTCAGCATGCTCAGAGCAGTGGCACACACTCAGCTGGGCTCTAGGGCACAGGAGCTGGGTGCTACCAAGGTGCTTTTGCCAATCTCTCTGCCACCACATATTCTGCACTATTAGAATATGCTGTCTACAAAAACAGTGGGCAACTCAAGGTGCTCTACACCACATGAGTGATTTGCTACAAAAACAGTGGGCAACTCAAGGTGCTCTTTCTCAAGAAGGTGCTCTATACCACATGAGTGATTTGCATAATCACTGGTAATAAACTTCACCATCTTTCCCCAGCCACATTTATGGATCCCCCTGGTTCAAGGACAGCAGAGGCTGCTCTGACCTCCTGTGACTGGCTACTCAACCTCACCAGTGACCCCAATAACCAGAGTTCCACCAAAACACAAATTTTCCTTCTAGCCAGGACACCAGGAGACAGTCTCCTTCAATCTCAAGGTGTGAGAAAATGTGTTCTTTTCATGGCAATTCCCTCCAGAAGTTGTGCCTCATGTCTCTTCTACATCTGTCTCATTTCAGCTCCCTGCTTAAGAAAACTTTCTGCCTTAATCCAGCCCCCTCTTTATTCAGCAGCAATCCAGACCTTACAAGTGTCTCAGACTAGTCACAAGATCCCTTCAGGAGCTGTTGAAACAGCTGGAATTTTTTCCTCCTGTCAGTTTTCCAGCACTGTGAAGTATTGTGGCTAATGAGCCCAAAAAGACTTGGTTATGCCAAGTTCCCTGTCACACGAGTGCTCCCCAGTGCCCCACAGCTCAGCCCACTGCCTCAGTCTGTCTTGCTATGGGAAACTACCACTCCAGGTGCTGGGCATAGTAAATTCCTGAACCTTTCAGCTGCATTTGAAAAGGATTTTGTCTTTGCAATACTCCTGCTTTCTCCTTGAAGTATTTCTACCATTCCTTTTCCCTCACTTTTTATATTAATCTATAATAGAGTCTTGCTCACTAACATCTTTTTCACCTAACAATGGTGAAAAACCCTTCTCAAAACCCTTCTCCACTCTGATATTTTTATATATATAGAATACATAACAGTTTGTTTTTTTTTTTTAATCACAGCAATCTAAACTATTTGTTTTTTTAATTTTGTTTCGGGCTTCCCCCCCCACCCCAGAGTCACTGCTTTTGTTGATACCCTGCTATAAAGGTAAGATCCACATTCTTTCTCTTTATAGCTGTAATTTATGATGTGGCTGAGGTAACACATTCGTTGTTTGGAAAGGTGCAGCTTAAGGGATCAGGATGTGTCTCCGTGGCTCTGGACAGGTGCCACTGCCACGGCTGCTGCCCCTCTCACTCCTCCTGACCAGACACCACACTCTGATCCAGTGGAACAGAAACACAACACCCCCAGTGAAATCTGAAAATCATATCCAATTACAAAAATAACTCCAGGTCAGATTTCTGCAAATCTTGTTCTCACAAAGCAGCTTAAATTTATGAACCTTACGAAATTTAATCAGAATTACTCATGTTTAAGACTAAACTGCATATTTTAACAGCACATTAACCTCAGGCTTTTCTGCCTACTCCAAATTCCCTGTACATTCAAATTCCAAATTACTTAACTCTGTTGTTTTCAGTGTCTAAAGATATGAGAGATGGGCACAGTCTGTAAGACAAAGTAAAAGCTACAAATTATTTTCAACTTTAATTCTCCCCCAATTTTGTACCTTATCCAATCTTTATAAAACTAAATCTATACTGCAAAAATATTGTCATTTATACAACTATTTTTCCAAATATTCAAATTTCCATCACTTGGACTTATTTCTGTAAATTTGCCCCTTGAACATGAAGCTCTTTTCTACCAGCACATCCTTTCTCTTAACATGATGTAAAGACAAAAGAAATGTTGTTCAGTTTTCATGATGATTTTTTTTTATGCCAGCAGTAGTTTATTGTTTCTTTCAGGTTTTTTCCAAAAGACTCAGCAGAGATAAAAAGAACAGTCACACATTTTTTAAAAGGCAAATTAAATACACTAAAGGGGAAAATGGGAAAAAAAAACCCCAAACCAAAACCACATGAAAAACACCAGTAAAGAAAGAAAGACAAAAAGCATAACTGTGCAAGGGAGATACAACTGAAAAATAGAGGCATAATTAGAAACTGTTATGAAGATGGAACCTCAGTGCAGGATCTATAATAATAAGACTCAAATCCAGAGTGAGATACTTGCATAATATAAAGTAATAATAATGAAAAAATTAAAGGAAATTAACACATGAAAAATACAAGTTAAATACAAAAAGTGGAAAGAAACCCACTAAGTATATATGTTTATATAGCCACAGCTCTCTTATGAACTAGTGCTCTGTTTTAATGTGATGTAAAACCAAGCACATGGAAGGCAGAGATAAGGAAAATATAGGGAGAGGGAACTATCTGCTGAACCAGAAATGTGAGACTCAGTAAGTACAGAAACATAAACATTAGGGGAGAGAAAAAGATACAAAGAGTGGATTTAGCAGAGAGATACTGGGCCCATTTAAACCAGCAGGACTTGTAGTTTAAGGCAATATTTCACATCAAATATTCCTTAGAAAAGGAGAATCTACTTCTGATAATCTTCCTACACCTTTACTGATAGTTATGAGCAAAGTAAAGCTTACAATTATTCCACTGCCAAAAAGACACAAATTGTATTCTAGAAAATGGTAGTTTACAGGCTCAAGAAAAATGGCAAACCTTCTGTGAGGAGACCATGGAAAGTAGGTTTGTGTGGTTGTAATTCTACCTCAGACCCTGAGCACACAGTTGAGTCAATCTCCTGATCATGTTACACTTCGGTTTGTGCCGTGTAACAGACTCTGAATGTGCAAAACTGATTCTTTTGGATCTCCAGAAATGTAGTTAATGCACCTCAGCCGTTAAACAGCCCACATTTGGGACCAGGTTACAGCCAACCCACACAAAAAGCTCCTGAGATGTGCCTGGTCCTCAGCACCTCCTGGTTTCCCCTTCTCCTTCAGGCTGCTTGGTAATTCAGACACAGTGAGTGTTCACAGGAACACAAATGGGTAAAAAGTCCATCTCACAGACAGTGCTGCTACAGCAAACTTTACATCTTTATCAAATCCCTGCTTTATGAGCCCTGATTGCTGTTTCATTGGCTTTGTCAGCAGTGAAATGCAGGATCAGATCTATTGCTGGAAATGATGGGCAACAACCGAGTCCCAGCAATGACAACTGACCTTTCACAGGCATAATTAAATTGCATCAAAATAATTTAAATAAACAGCTAAAGCTACTCAGTTGAAAATGGCATTTTTATTGAGACAAATCTTATTCCTATAGAAAAAAACATTAAGTGTTTGTTTTTTGAATCTGTATTGAAGTCCTGGCTGTGCTTTCTATGGCAAACAGAGTAGGTCCCGATTTACTTAACTGCAAGATCTGGAGTTGCTGCTCTTTTATAATTGCTTTTGTGAATTGGGAACTCATTGTTTAAGCATTTACTGAGCTACTATACTTTCTGTATTTTCTGAAAGTCAAACCAGCAATTTTGTTTATAACATATTTGCAACAGAAGGCAGTTACTGGATGTTTAGAGTTTAAATGTGGTTTATATGTTGAGTGGTTTATTATGTTTAGTGCAAAAGTGGATTAGTGAGCTCCTGCTTTGTGCTCTCTGCCAGAGCTGGGGTTGGAGAGGATGGATACACATGCACCCATGTACACTCTCCAGACACAATTCCTTCTGCTCTATTAGTTCTTTCAGTGATCTCTTTGTTTGTCAAAAGGCTTCTAGTACACCCAGAGAAAATACAGCAGAGTACTGGGGCACTGCAAGATATACAGAAAAATAAACAACTCTAACACATAAAAGGCACTGCAGAGTGACAGTGGTGAGTACTGAGGAAGAATCTGAATGTCAGTAAGTCCTGATTTATTGGGGAAAATGAGAAACTCTTTGTTTTTGTACTTTGAAACAGAAAAAAACAAGCAAAAAAACCCGACTCACTAAATGAATAATTCAGCTGATGTGTAACTAACCTTATAAAGCAAAGGTGATTGTCCAAGCTTCAAAAGTGCAATTTTTTTGGTCACGTTTGTGATGGCTTGAATCCGGATCAGGTCTTCCATGGTCCCATACTGGACATCAACAAGCTCTGCCTGCAAAGAGGAGACAAAATTCAGGCTACAGCTACAGCCACTCTGCACTGAGGGTGCTCCTTGCATGGAAACCAAGTGTTTGTACAAGCATCTCAGCAGAGTCTTGCAATTCCTTACCCCAACTTCTAATCAGCAAGACCTGTAATAGCAAAGACCTTGAAAGTTCAAATTGACAGATAACTTTTTTGTGGTTTTAATTAATAATTAAGAAGCTATGATAAACTAAACACCCCCACCCCCCCATTTTTTTTCCCAGTGGTTATAGGAGATGCTGATTCTGAAGAGAAATTCCCCTCATTACCTACAGGAATTAATTGTGTAAAGGACACTAAGTCACTTCTGTTTATTTTCTTAAAAATAACCAGAGAATTAGAGTCTTGTAAACTATTTCAGGGAATGAGTGATTTTACTGGTCACTTCTGAAAATACACAGGTAACACAAACTCCACCAATACACAGTTTTATTTTGTAACTCCTGAGCAATCTTACCTAACTACTGAAGTATTTTCCTTTAATCAATCATTTATCCAAGCATTATGCACAGATAACTACAGTGATAACAGAACCATGTTCTGATGTGTGTACTTTTACATTAGTATATATTTTTCAAATTATTTAGAGTCACTTTGATGTAAAAGTGTTTAGAACATGAAGATTTTCAGCTCTTCCATTAGGACTCTGCAAGAAAATATAGAACATGTTCTAAGTTATTTTTAAATGTCAAGAACTGGCAGTAATGGAAAAATATTTCAAGATGAGTTTTCAAGTATTTTTTAAAATATATAATTTAGGAATGACCAAGGGCATTTTTCTTACTCATTTGTAGCAATAAATTCTGGTGAAAACAAAGTAAGAGGATAATCAGTCTTGTACATTACTATTTTAGAATGTTATGAAGCTCTCAGGACATCATTGAGGACATTCTGGAACCTCTAAATCTGTACCCAATGCTCACATAAAACCCAAGTACTGGAAGACACAAGAATATTACATAAGTGTTTAAAAGTTAAAATAAGAGGAGCAGTACAAGATGGAAAAGTTTTCTCTTTCAGTTCAGTTTTGTAACTTAAGTATGGATTCATTGCCAAAGGCAACAGTTCTGATTTTGGGTATCCCTACACAAACTGTTTGAATTCTAGCAACAGTTGTTCTGGATGTGTAGGATGTGTGAAATTTTAGTAGATTCCTGAACATGGGTATTTTAAGAAAGTATTTACCCTTAAAAAACTGTATCTGTGTGAGTTTGCTTCTCAACATTCGAGTTGAAACCATACAAAAACTTTGCCAAGATTCCTGTCTTATTAAATTCTTCTGAATTCTTCAGAAAAGTTTCCAAGTCTGCAATATGTCATCAGTGCTGTACAAACCAAGTATGTGGAAAGCCCAGCCAAAGCCAGAAGACACTTCTGAGTAGGAAAACATCAGATTTAACACCAAGTAATGAAATGTAGAACAGGAAAGCTCGCACTTCACCATTTCTTCTGAAATAGATGGGGGTTTTCATATCTAAAGAACTAGAAAACTATTTAGCCAATATAATTTTCTTTCCTGTATGGCTACAGTATTTGAAAAGTAGGATTAAATCAAGTAAAGATTTCATACTAGGGAAAGGTGTTTTATGTTTTACCTAATCTCATGCCTCCAGTTTTAAAGAATTAACCTCAGATACAGAAAGGGTATTTACCAGAGTGCTTAAGTTCGTAAACTTTTTACCTCTTTCTGTAGGTCTAACCTTTATTTTAATTTGTACCTACACATATGTCATTAGATACAATGGTTATCAGTGTCTCAGAAGTCTTATGGCTTGAGAGGTTATGGGAGGTCATATCTAGGTTGATTTCTAGGGATTCCTCTATCTAATTCCTTTGGACCCAATGCCTTCCTCACCTATTCTCCAAAGCAAAAATCAGGGCTGTCATTATTTGTATGAGAGAAAGCACACTGACTTTGCCTGAGGCAAAATCAATACCCAGACATGAAGATCATTTGCTTGTCCAGGATGCCTGTGTGGAAATGAGCTCCCTGCCCATCTACATTCATGTGCTGCTGCTCTGCACATCCCGTTGGCTCTCTGCTTCTCCAGGGTGCTATCCACTGCTCTGTAAACAACAAAACTACATGTTTGCACAATTATTAATGCATTTAGCAACTGCCCTTGGATGTTCTTAGTTAATTTATGGATGCAAACTGCATCTTGAAGAGTGGCTCAGTGGTCTTTTCCAGAAAACACGTGCTCAACAAGACAGAGACAGAAAAAGGCCCTGCAAAAGCACAGCTCATTTTTTAATTATGTGGAAAACAGAAGTTGACTCCCTGCTGCCCCAAACATTCTGCAAACCATGTGCTTTGCTTCAAATTTTAAAAGTTAGCCCTAATGCCAAAGCTATCAAGTACATTCATACATTGAGAGCAGATGCAAGAAATTGCATAATGAAGGAGCAGCTGGGTGTAATAGAACAGAGTTTCATGGGCTTTCATCACACATCTTCCACATGAAATACAGATATGTCAAAGCTCAGTGGTTATCACATTCTGGAAACAGCATGTATAGCTTAGCACCCAGAGATCTGCACAGCTTATATCACCTCTAACTCCAGCTAAAATGACAAACAAAAATTGAATTAAATCGTCTCTTAAGTAAAACTACACATGGCCCATCTCTGGCCAAATGAAGTCAATAATTCACTGGAAGGGTTTAGAACAAAGTCGTAATGTTTTGGCAATAAGTCCAGAAAGTAATAGCTACACATTAAATTATAAAAACAGTTAGAGAAACTATTCTTATCTCTTCCTCTATTCTGCACCTGAACACTTAAAATAAAATTTGTAATAAAAAGCAAAATAATTTACAGTATTAATAAAATCTCATCAAATACAGTACAGCAATACCAGCTCAGAATAGTCAGTTTCGGTTTTATTTAGTGGACTAGGGCTCAACTAATTGGGACCCTAACTTCTAATATAAAATTAAATATTGAAAAAATACAACCTCAAAATAATGGTGAAGAATCCTATTGAGTCCAGACATTCTACTTTCCTAATAATCCATTCAGAAGCTGACAGACCATTTATGATGCATGAAGGCCTGTTTTAGTCACAACATTTCTAATACCTCCAAAAATGAATAAAGATTAAATTTCCTATTATTTCTCATTTCTGTTTTTAGAAATGCTTACAACATGACATAATCCTCATTTTACACACACCAGCTTTTTGAAAAGTGAAACACCCCACCCCCAACTACTCATATTTGATAAACTGCTTTCCTGTGGTAGGATAATTCTGCTCAAAAACAAAAGAGGACTCATCCTTTTATCAGGTGCCGAAAAAGAGCACTTGTCTACTTGGTTTAGCTATGCCACAGTAAATCCTCTTACCCTAAAACTGGGAAACTGCTAAAGAATGAGTTGTTTTATCCATTTGAATTAGGTACTTACTCCTCGAATCATTTCAAGCTATGCTGTTTGAAAGATATGACTATTTAGGAGCAAATTGTGATGTGCATTGTGGAGTTCAGTAGTATTCCCCCATGCATGAAATGAAGTAGGGGTAGGTAATAAAACAAACATTTTTAGGAAAAGTAATTATTTTATGTTAGGCAACTTATTAGTTTTCCAAGTCCCAAGATGATGCTCAGTGAGTTGTAAACATTCTGTCTTAAAAATTCTAACAGAATCTCCCCCAAAACAGAAAAGACAAATACTCTGAAAATGCCACAATCAAGAGAGTCAGGGATTTTTATCCTAATTTCTTCTACTTATCTCCAAAATGAAACAGAATGAAAGAGTATACTTCATCCAGACATGGATGACACAGAGGAAAATAGGTCTTTCAAAGGAAAAATATTAATTACTATATAAAGCAGGTGGCAGCTGGGGTCTTGAAGATGCTGGATACTATTTTTAAACCTTGCTTTCTTGCAAAAACGGAGGTAATTAAAAGAAAATAAGATAAATAGCTTGAAAATAATAACAAAAATACATTTGTCTTATGACATTCTCATCAGTCCACTTGACTGAGGAGAAAGATTTAATAACAGTGTTATACATCTGTATGCAACACACTGCCTGAGAGGCAGATTGTGGCTGATTTACCCACAAGGCAGCAAAATGACTCAGGAAAGAAACCAGGGGAAAAAAACACCAAAAACCCCAACATAAAACTCAAGGGTGGTACAACCAGGAAGGGATGTTTCTAACCACCAAAATGAGGATGCAGTCAGTGCAGATAACAAAGCAGCTCTTAAACTGAGCTCACAAAAGCTTGGCAGAAAACAAACCCAAAGCTGAAATGAAATTAAGTTTTCATAACACACCCAGGAAGGGATGTTTCTAACCACCAAAATGAGGATGCAGTCAATGCAGAGAAGAAAGCAGCTCTTAAATTGAGCTCTTTTTCTTGGCAGAAAACAAACCCAAAGCAGCATGGCTGTGCTGAAATGAAATCAAATTTTCACAATAGAATGGCTGTGCTGAAAAGGCTCCTCCTCTCCATGCTACCTGTTGGTAGTGCCATAGTTCAGTAATCTCGAATTATGAATATATTTCATCAAATATCAAGCTCCTGACCCACATTAATGAATGGATTCTACACAAACTATGGGGGATCTCAGGCCTGTGGAAGCTGCAGGTATAAAAATGACAGTCAAGCTCATATTCCTCGTATTCTCAATTCCTGCCTACCCACTAAAAGGTTTCAGAAATAGATTCCCTAAAGAAACTCCAAGTATTGAAGAAAACTAAATATTGAATATCAATAAATATCGTTCACTCCTCAGAATTAAGGCAATTTCTCCCAAAAGCACACATGTAATTCTAGAAGCATCAGCCCTCGGTTCTGTGATTGTTCAGACTCACTACATCCCCTCCTTCCATCCAGGAAAATGCCCTTCATTTGTCCTTCAACGTTCAGCTACTATTTTCAGGTTGTTCACAAAATAAAGGCAGCAGAAACATCCCATGCACAATCAATCACAATTAAATAACCTTCAACTAGTCATC